GAAATACAGTTGACCCTTGAACAACATGGGTTTCAACTGCATGGGTTTACTTATACACGAATTTTTTTCAGTAAATACAGCATAGTACTGTAAATATATTTTGTCAACATTTTCTTTTCTCTAGCTTTATTAAGAATGCAGTGTATAATGTAACATACAAAATATGTGTTATTTGGCTATATGTTATTGGTAAGGTTTCTGGTCAACAGTAAGCTATTAGTAGTTAAGTTTTTGGAGAATCAAAAGTTATACTGGATTTGGTTATGTCAGGGGTCCATGACTCTAACCCTCGCATTGCTCAAGAGTCATCTGTACTGATATATGCTATATACCATGACCATGCTTAATCTTGGAAATATTAAGCTAAGTGAAACATGTCAGCACAAAAAAAAACCCACGTATGATTCCATTTTTATGAGACATTCAGAATCTACAGAGATAGAAAATGGATAAGTAGTTGCTTTGACTGGGGGTGGATCGTGGGAGGTGGGAATGGGGATTGGCTGCTAATGAGGTTTCTTTTAAGGGATGAAAGTGTTTTGAAAGTACATTGTGGTGATGGTTGTACAATCCTGTGAATAAACTAAAAAACATTGGATGGTATATTTCAAATGAATGAATTATATGGTAAGTGAATTATATCTCAATAAAGTTGTTAAATATACCTTTAGGAATCATGGTCATTTATAAGGAAATCATCATGTTTGAAAAATATTTTAAAAGAAAAGATTATAAATCACGGTGTTACTTATTTGTGCTTTACTGACAAAAATAAAAACCAACAAAAAAATCCAAACTAAAAACTGTATTTATTCTCACTACACTTCTGACACCACAGGTGTTGGCTTTTCTACACCAAACAATTCTCTCATTCTCTGTGGACATCCAACTGGATGTCCAAGAATTAGTGCAGACCCCACAAGTTAAGGGTTCAATCCCACAAGACTGCCCCCATGCCTTCAGATGCCAGTCTCAAGTCCCAGGCCACCAGCACCTCTGACCAACAAGCTATAAATCGGGTTCCCACAACCCCCTTATCCGGTTTGTTAATTTGCTAGAATGGGGCTCCTATAACCCAGGAAGGCACTTTACTTACTATTACTGGTTGATTAAAAAGAATACAGCTTAGGAACAGCCAAATGGAAGAGATGCATAAGGCAAGGCAGGGAGGAAAGGGGTATGCATGGAGGGGTATAAGCCCTCCACCCTCCCAGCACCTTGATGCTAGGAGCTCTCGGAACTCTGTAATTCAGGGGTTTCTATGTAGATTTTCATTGGTCATTGGTGATTAACTCTGTCTCCAGCCCCCGTTCCCTTCCCTAGAGGTTAGGATGTGGTGGGACTGAAAGTTCCAAACTGGAAGCTATCTAAGGCCCCCCCTAAGCTTTTGTGTCATGATGATGTACCTCTCACTCATATCACTTAGGAAATTTCAAGGGTTTTAGGAGTTCTGTGCCAGGAACAAGGGACAAAGACTTATTGTATCATACTATCAAACAAGTATTCAGCAATAACAACAAAAACCCATGGGCATAAGGATAGACATGTAGACCAATGGAATAGAACTGAGAGTCCAGGAATAAACTGTACATCTGTGGCCAATTGATTTTTTTTAAAGATTTTATTTATTTAGAGAGAGAGACAACATGAGCGGGAGGGGCAGAGAGAGAGAAATAGAATCTCAAGCAGACACTATGCCGATGCAGAGCTCAATCCCAGGATCCTGAGATCATGACCTGAGCTAAAACCAAGTCAGACACTTAACCAACTGTGCCACCCAGGCGCCCCTGGCCAGTTGAGTTGTGATAATTGTGGCAAGACCAATCAATGGGGAAAGACTATTCTCTTCAACAAATGGTGCTGGCACACCAGCATATTCAAATGCAGAAGAATGGAGTTGGATTCCTACCTTGTACCATATATAAAAATTAACTCAGGGCTCCTGGGTGGCTCAGTTGGTTGAGCATCCAACTCTTGATTTCGGCTCAGGTCATGATCTCTGGGTCGTGAGATTGAGCTGGGCCTGGAGCCTGCTTAAGATTCTCTCTCTCTCTTTCTCTCTCCCCCTGCCCCTCCTCCAGCTCTCACTCTCTCTCTCAAAATAAATAAATCTTTAAAAATTTAAACTCAAAATGGATTGAAGACCTAAGTATAAGAGGCAAAATTGTAAAACCTTTAGAAGAAGACATGAGGAATGTTCATGACTTTGTATTTGGCTATGGATTTTTAGATATAATACCCAAAGCATGAGCAACAAAAGAAAAAATAGGTAAATTGGACTTTTTAAAATTAAAAACATTTGTGAATCAAAAGACATGGTCAAGAAAGTGAAAAGACTTACAGAATGGAAGTGTTTGTAAATCAGGTATCTGAGAAGAGTCTAGTATCTAGAGTATATAGAGAACACTTATAACTCAACAACAAAAAGATGTCCCAATTAGAAAATGGGCAAAAAGACTTGAACATTTATCCAGAGATATACAAATAGCTGACAAGCACATGAAAAGGTGTTCAACATCATTAGTCACTGGGGAATTGCAAATCAAAACCACAATGAGGTACCACCCATTGGGATGGTTGTAATTTTTTTTAATGGGAAATAATGAGTATTGGCAAGGGTGCAGAGTTATTGGAATCCTTGTATGTCAGTGGGAATGTAAAATGGTTCAGCTCCTGTGGAAAATAGATTGATGATTCCTCAAAAAATTTAACGTAAAGTTACCATTTGACCTAGCAATTCCACCTCCAGGCATCTATCCAAGAAAAATTATGAAAACACATCCATACAAAAACTTGTGCACAAATGTTCATAGTAGCATAATTTGTAACAGCTAAAAGATGAAAACAACCCAAATGTTCACCACTGGATGAATGGATAAACAAAATGTGATTTATACATAAAATGAAATATCACTCAGCCCTAAAAAAGAATGAAGTACTGAAACAGGCTACAACATGGATAAACCTGGAAAACCTCACTGAGTTAAACAAGTCAGACACAAAAGGCCACATATTTTGATTCCATTTATATGGAATATTTAGGTAAACCTGTAGAGACAAAGACTGGTGGTTGCCAGGGGCTGGGGGGCAGGGAGATGGGGACTAACTTTTAATGGCACAGGGATTTTTTTAGATGATGAAAATGTTTTGAAACTACACAGAGGTGATAGATGCACAACACTGTGAATGTTCTAAATGCCACTGAATTGAATCCTTTAAAATGGGTAGTTTTAGGTTATGTGAATGTCATCTCAACAAAAAGGAGACAGGAGGAGAACATGGAGGGTGGATTTTGGCCCACAGGCCAGAGTTTGCAACCTCCTGTCTAAGCCTTTGCAAATGTGTCCCCTTAGAAACAGCTTTTCCTTTTCACCTTGTGACCTCCTACTCCAGCATACCTGTCACCAGGAAACATTTCTGGCCCACCAGACTGAGAGAGCTGAGTCACAGCATCTTACTCTATCCTGGGCCATAACACTTAGCACCCTCTACTGCTTCCTTGCCAGAAACCCTTATCATGTGTCCTTAAGGGTCTGGGTCACGTTCATTTTCCTTATCCTTAGCCCCTTGCATGGTGCCTGGCACAAAAGGAAGCATTTTTGCATTGAGTCTTTGTCAGCTACAGTCCTCAATATGCCCTTTCCCAAAGCTCACAACACTCAGCACCCCTGCAAGGTGGACTTTACCAGGCAGGAGCCTTAAAGCTCAGAAGCAGATCCCTGGCCCAAGGCTAGACATGTAGCCTCTGGGTGGGTCCATGAGGACAGGCAGTGCAAGAGTCCAGGTCTCAGTCTTGATCTCAGGTGTTCGCTATGCCCCACCTCTTCTTGGCTTTAGTCTTCTCTAGCATTGGGATTCAAAGGTACTGTCTCTGTATTGTCTCCAATCTTCCCATCCTCACCTGGGAGGGAGTGTCTTGTCCTGTCCTTACTCTTACTTAAAAATTTTCTTGTTCATTCTTCTGTTAGAGTGCACACATTTGTCTACCAGTTGCTTCCCTATTTCTCCCTCCTTCCAGCCCTTGGCAACCACTGGTCTACTCTTGTCTGTCTGGATTTCCCTATTCTGGATATTTCATATATCCATTTGTGAATGGCTTCTTTCACTTCACATGTTTTCAAGGTTCATCCATGTTGTAGCATGAATTGGTACTTTGCATAGTACTTCAACATAAGTCTCTGCAGTACAAAAGTATAAAGGACAGGTTCTTTAAAAAGAAAAATGTTGAAGCCTTTGTTTCCCTTTTTAAGGAGTGGGGGTAGGTGGCAGATACACTGAGGATCTGAATTTACCCACAGACTGCATGGGGGCTCATTCGGCTGGGGTGGCGATTTGATTGTTGAATTCTAGGAGCTTGAGCTGTGATGCTGTCATGTCTCATTTAGTTGTAAACGTCTCTTTACTTAGCTTTTTGAGCATTTGACATCGGATACAAATACATTGAAATTCTTTGCTAGAAAATGTAAGTTCTATGTTTTATAAAAGATAGTAGCCTTATTGGGGTTTATTAAATATAATTTTTGCTATTTATAAATTTCAGAAAACCCAATCATCAAAATTAGCCCATAATCTCTTCCTCCTGATTAAACTACTCTTTTAACACTTTAGAGTTTTTCTTCCCAAGACTTACTTTATATGAATATTTATGTGCATGCATAGAATGTATGTATATATAGATTTACATATACAAACATTGAATGTACAGTTACACATATACACAGACATACGTATAAATGCATACCTATGTGTATACACACATTTTACGTTTAACAAATTGGGACCATCTCTCTTACTGTTTTGTAGTCTTATTTTTTTCCCTGGTGTTTGCAGCCATCTTTCCACATCAAATTTAGAGTTATATCATGTCGTTAATATCTAATAGGCTTGTTTTTTTATTAGAGAAACTATATCAATGTATGAGACTTTCATTTTAGAAACATTTGTTTTAACAATTTATATCCTCTCTTTTCTTTCTTTCATTGCAAAATGTCTTGTCTTAGCAAAACCGTGTAGTTGGGGCAATGCAGCTCTACTCTGTGGACAGGAAGGTTTCACAACCCATAGAAGGCCATGCTGCTGCTTTTGCAGAGTTCAAGAGTGAGGGGAATGCCAAGCCTGCCACTCTTTTCTGCTTTGCTGTACGTAGTCCCGCAGGGGGCAAGGTAAGCTCTCCACTTTGTCTTCTCCCTCAGAAAAATGTCCTGAGTCAGTGTTAGGAGTCTCTACAAGTGTAAATTGGTAGCTACTTAGCCAGCATTTCAAAACCAGTTTATAATTGGGCGTGGGCAACGGTCTGCAGGTGCTTCATGTAAATAAAGGCTCTTAACAGTATTTAGAACAACTCACCTATTGTCATGTTGGTGGTTTCACAGCCAGTCTTTGTAAAATCAGTAACGTGAGGTCAGCTACCAATTAATTGGTCCCTTTGCCCTAAAAATCCTCGTTGAGAGTCTGTTGAGCATGGGCTAGGCACACATGGTTTCTGCTCTCACACAGCAGTCTCATGGAGGCAACAGCTGTGAAAGAACCAGTGCATGCTATCCTAACCTAAGGCGAGAGTCCTATGTGGTTCTGGCAGGTGGTGAGGTTGGGGTGGGACCCCAGGGGAGCTGCAGAGAGGAGGCCATGCTCTGGGAGCAGGTTGAGTTTTATTAGGCTCGAGCACATGGCTAGCATCTGTTTGGCAGGGCTGCCATGGGCAGAGATGTGAGGTATAAGAGTTCAGGATGTTGGGGAGACCTGCGGTTCCAGGGTTGCGTCATTCACCTGAAGAGTGGCCTCCCTAAAACATGGTCCTTATCTTAGTATACTCTTGTCAGTAATACTTCATGAAATCATTATTTTGAGGTGGTCACTAGCCCTGAAGTGTTCCCCAAAGAAGAATACTAAATCAGTATGTGGTCCCAAACTTCCTCATCTTAAAATTTTTTTTTTTTTTTTTTAAAGATTTTATTTATTTATTTGAGAGAGAGAGAATGAGAGACAGAGAGCATGAGAGGGAAGAGGGCAGAGGGAGAAGCAGACCCCCTGCTCAGCAGGGAGCCCGATGCGGGACTCGATCCCGGGACTCCAGGATCATGACCTGAGCCGAAGGCAGTCACTTAACCAACTGAGCCACCCAGGTGCCCCATCTTAAATATTCTTAATTGGATACTTTGGTCTCCTGTGTAATATACATCATGCCCTCCTTAGTTGAGAACCAGTAGAAAAATAGGAGTCAGGCAAAAATATCAGCCTGCACAAAGAGCTTGCTCTACCCTATCACTTTAGACTGAGGCTTTCCGCCTTGTCACAGACAGAGCCGGGCAGCCACAGGCATCCTTGCAAGGGCAGAACCTGTCCCACCGAGCTCCCTGTGAAGAAGAGCACACCAGAACAAGCCCCCTGTAAGACAGGTGTGCCCACTTACCTCCTGGACTCAGCTGTGAGGCAGGCAGGTCCCCTCAGGGTAGAGCTGTGGCTAGGAATGGTCTTCCATGGCGGGGACCCCCACAGCAGTCTTCCCAAGTGCCGCCTCGTTTTATGGTTGAATCTCACTTCCCCTACCACAGTGGCAGGTGTGGTTCCCTTCACTAGTTTTCTCAGCCTGTGCCCCTTGCAATCCAGCCCAGCTGCACTTATGGGAATGGCTCAGTAGTCTCCTCTTGTGGATCTGAGTTTTGTCTGGACTCCAGTTCCTTGTTCCTTTCTCACAGGCAGGTACCACTTGTCCATAGTTGTGCCCTTCTCTCACCACCTCCCAAAGAAGCCTGGCTTCCTTACCCGTGCCCCCACTTCTGTTGACAGTGCCAACATCCTTCCCAACTCCCAAGCAAGAAACCATGGTTCTTGAGCTCCATTCTGTTCTGTTGCCACTGTCCATCTGCTAGCAAGTCTCACATCTGTGGCAGATGAGGCCCTTGTTACTCATATTTGGGTTAGAGAATAGTCATTTATTAGATCCTCAGACCCACCCCACCCCTCAAAAAGAATTTTCCCAAACTACCATTTCTCTTAAAGTGCCTGTATGCTAGGAGTTTTAGTCTCCCTGCATCTTATATATATATATTTT